TTTCTCCCCACCACTGTATGCATTGATGTATGCAGTGGAGCTAAATAGCAATAATCACTTGCCCAGGTCTCCATGTAACCTGTGCTAGAGGTTTATGCATTGTTTCAGTGAACACAAGCCAAACCATCACTTCTGTTGGTTTTAAATTTTGAGAAACTGGTTTCCTCAAGTGTTTCCTCCTTACTTCTACCGCGAGCTAGTGGTGGGCAGCAGATGTTTATCTCCTGACTCAATCAATGTGTCACTCTTAGCATTTACCCAGTATCCAGGGACTCATGACTGCCAAAACTCCTTGGAAGCAAGTTTAGTTCTTGCAGTTGTATAGCTGAAGCAAGTTCATCAGTTCCAATGTTGTCTGCTTTGAATTTGCTGTTACACTGTGGGACTTGAGATCCAGGTTACACTCAGAACATGGAGCCTTGGAAGCAATTCATAAAAGATTTATTTAGTTAAAACAAATATTTGAACCATTTTAATTTTTGAAGGATTTTATAATGAATGTGCTACATTTTCCTGTACTCTAATATTTTTATATACTTGGATGTCAATTGAAATTCATCAAATTCTACTTTAACATTTGAAAGTATAAAACAGCAGTCTCATATTATACTTTTGTGTTTTATGGGCAAAGTTCTTATTTTGCTCAGCACTACTGAATTTTTATCATAATGTATAAATCTATGTATATTATCACCCTAGTTAATGTTAAAAGTGGCAGATATCAAAATATTTATTTGTAACTAAAGATGATTTTTCTTTTCATGGAAGCCAAAGGATGGGTTACACTGCTTTTGGACACCTCCTAGGACTCCTCCCTTTGGTTCATAATCACTCCTAAGGGAAAGTTTTTAAAGTGATCCTTGTCACTTCTCATAGTTTATAATCAATGTAAGCTTCATGGAACATAAACAATGAATTCCCTTGTGCTCTGCCCCCTATCTAAGTGTCAAATCTTTGCTTACTAAATAGTAAATAAAGGTATTTTGATTTGGTTCCTGTGAATATATACCCTGGCTTTTCTGTCCTCATCTTCAGGTATCTACAAGGTACCCACTAAACTAATTTTACTAACTGTAAATCTAATTCCTCCAAAATTGCTATGTCAATGTCACATCTCTGAAAATAAATGGTCTTTTATAGAACAGGGAGCACTACATCCTCTGGATATTGGCAAGTTCATTAGTCACTTTTCCCAGCACTAAGACAAAACACCTGACACCTGCAACTTAGAGGAGGAGAAGGTTTTTTGATCCATGATTTTGATAGGTTTAGTGCATAGCTAGCTGGCTCCAGGAAAGAAAAGACATTCTGGGAGGCCATGGTGGAAACAGAAAAAATGAAGTCATGGCACTAGTGACCCACTTCTAACTAGGCCCAGCCTTCTAATAGCATATTCAGCTGTGAACTCATCTGTGGATTAATCCACAGCAGTATAGAGCTCCTGTGAGCCAGTCACCTTCCAAAAGTCCCACTTTTGAACACATGACATTTTTAGAGAACATTTTGAATATAAATCAAAATAGCTGGTATAACAGAAGATTCTTAAGTGGGCCCTTCCACGATGTACTGCAAGGGTAGGCCTAGACACACATCCACCTCTAGGGCCATTTTTCCTTATGGATATTTTTTATCATTGCTGATTGTCCATTGCCACACAGGTCCTTTCTGCCTCAAGTTTCATCTTTTCTAAAAAAGAAAAATATTTTGTTTGATACTCATGAACATTGGAATCAAGTAAAACATGCCCACAAGCACTTAAGAAGGATCTAGTAGAAATACAGTCCTTGCCTGACCAGCAGCATTTTCTTTGTTCGTAAGTCAACTATTAAGGACAATAGATTGAGTTCTCTCCTTTGAAGTACTAAAGAGAACCTCTAACTTGTTCTGTATGTATCCAACATTCTAGTCTCCTGAGCTCTAGTTTATTTCACTCTCATTGGCCTAAGGTTTTTCCCTCTATTTTTTACTAACTCAAGGATTTAGAAGTTAGAATTATGAGGTTTTATTTTTATTGCAGAAGTAAAATGAAAGAAGACTAATGAAATAATTTTATATAAAACCATACATAAGTTTATTTCAATAAAGCTAGAAGAAAATCTCTGTGGCTGAATGCTACAATTTTTCTGTAAAGTCAATGTAAGTTTTAAATGAGTTCTTTGGAATTATATTATAATAAAGCCAAGCAGTTCATAATATGGAGAAAGTATTAAACTTCAGTACCATAATTACTTACTATGCCCTTGCATTCCTTTAGAACATGGTTCCTCTGTTAACAGAGTGGATACTTGTTTGTTGTCAAAAATTAGAAAATATTTTGAAATACAGAGTTCAGAAGAAAATAACTTGCAATCTTACCACTCAGAGACTAACCACTGTTACAGTTTACTCATAAGTCATACATGGAATTTTTCTGTGCATAAAACATACTTTTTTTAAAATCTCAAATGGATATTACTGTGTATGCTTTTTGAATCTGTATCAACATGGTGTTGACATCTAGTAGCAGAAATTGTGACTCTAGCAAATTTGAACATGACCAATATGTATTATATAATGAAACAAGACATCAGAAATAGGATGAGCTGCAGGATGGGTGTTTTACTGGTTATCAAGGGCCCAGGTACTTCATATTCTCTGTCTGACACCAATATTGTCAGCTTTATGCTAAGGTTGTTTCCTTCATGGCCATAAAATTGCCACCATTATCGATAGCCTGGGACAGAATGACCACAGTCCAAGCCTGCTACTAGCATAGATAGCACTCCAGCTGCTTGGGAAGGTGGTAGCCACAGCAAAGCCAGGAGCCAAGGGGTACAGTCACTGATGTCACTAAAATAGGCTGTTTTCCTAAATCATCCCACCAGTTATGGGACATAAATTTGAGATGAATGCATTTAAATATTTTATTTTCATTTTAAAAATTAGTTTACTTTGTAAAAATCCTCTTTTCAGGAACATTGGAATAGAAAATCTTTTTCTGGGTAATTAATTCTTACTTAGTAAACATTCTCCAAAGATTTAGAATTTTTGCAGTGTCTTTTTTAGTGAAAGATAAAGTTTCTTTTATGAATATTGATTTGAACAAGTAGAGAAATTGCAAACTAAAAGACAAAGAGCTTAAAAATAAAACCTTAATAGATGTAAAACTTAGCGTTTTTATTTTTATGTACTTTTAAATTTTCAATACTCATGAAACAATGAAATAAATAATATAGAGAATTAGTAGCCATTTTGAAAGACTAATTCTGAGAATTAATGGGCATATTTGAAATTACTATTGTAAAAATCAAATGTTAATTCAAAAGTTATATATCTAGTTTTTAAATTATACTATTAAATGTGTAACTTCATGTGTAGTAAATATTCATATTTAATTTTAGGTGCCAGTATAACATATACTAAAATAAAATGGAACAATTTCTATGGTTCTATAAAAGAACCTATAAAGGAGCCATAAATAATTATAGTAAAACTCTTTTGAAATATTTTTATGGGTCCAAAAATTGAAAACTTCCTAATAGGGAAATTTTCTTAAATGAGACATGAAATAAGTTAGCCAGAGAGACCTAAAATGTATATGTCCTGTGGGAATCATGAATGAACTAGTCATTCCTTAGTGTAATTTTATATGATGTATAAGAACAAAGGATTTTTTAAAAAGCTGCTCAAAAATTAACTAGAAGGGGACAGGTTGCTGTTGCACTAAATTCTTCATGATGGGTCACTCACTTGGTATGATTGTCTGACTCTAGAAAGGCTCTGACAAAGATCAGAAGGCAGACAAGCAGAACTCTTCCTTGTGCAGGGCCCATTCTGTGGAGACAGTTTCCTGTGGTGTGCCACATGCCACTGCATCTCTGTTTTAGCAATAACATCACGGACTAAAAGGTGTTTTGGTGTTTCAAGACTATGTTTCACTTTCCATACCCAGTTCACCAGCCAGAGAATTCACCCAGATTTGCACTATTACTTTTTAGTAGATTCTAACTCCTCCCACTCACCTCCTTAACTAGCAAAGGGAATACAGAAGCATAACAGAAGCAGAGGACTCTGGTCCACATTTGAATACAATAGTCATTTGGATTTTGTCGGCATTCTTCTTTTAAAAAAATAGTACAGTAAGAGTCATTGTGTGATCCAGTGTGAGGAGCACTGGTCTACCTGTGAGAAGCCTGTGTCTTGCCTCTAGCAGCAAGTGACCATGTGACCTTGGCAGGCTCAGAGAAAGGGTGGGTGGATCAAAGATGTCTTTGGTTCCTTCCACTGGAATTAGAACGTCTGAGGAGGATTTGCTTATGGTAATGTAGAGTGTTTACTTGTTTGCACTTCTAAAATATGACTCCTAGAAGTGAGTGAGGGATGTGTGGCTGGAGTTAGTGGTGATAGGAGAATTTAAGTTTAAGGGTCAGCACTATGCTTGTTGGCAGTGATTTTTCTAGCCTCCACTGTGTAAGTAAGATAAGCACAGTCTCCAAGGACACTCAGAGGAACCTGTTCAGAGAAACACGTTCATTTGCCCTGGATCAAGATAATGGTGGTCCAGCCCTCTAATTGAAAGGCTTGTGACTATTGCATGATCATGCTATAGAAATGATCTCTGAAGGTAACCCTCCTAAAGGAAAAGGCATGACTGCCCTGGAGTGTCCTCTGGCTGGCCTTGTGAGAACTCTTGGAGAAACCTCTTGAGTTTGAATAACCTCTGGTTGTGGGTGTTCTAAAATGGGCTTGGTGAAGCACCTGTAACACACAGACCCTGCTGGCTATAGGGTGCACGCCAGACCAGAGGCGCTCAGCCTGCGCTACATTCTTAAAATTGGCCTATCCATTGTTGATGTTCCTTCATATCTTTAAAAAACAAAACAGTGATGACAACAACAAAACCTCAGACATTCCTGCATAGTTTGCCTCATAAATTCTGAATTATTTATATGAATAATCAATTCATATAAATGAGAAGTTTCCTGGACTGTCTTTGACTATCTTTTGCTTCTCTGAAACAGCGCCATCACACTGGAGAATCAGCTGGTGATCCTTTCTACAGCAGCAAGTGATGCCGGGGCCTACTACGTGCAGGCTGTCAATGAGAAGAATGGGGAGAACAAGACAAGCCCATTCATTCACCTGAGCATAGCAAGTGAGTTGGGAAATTCCAAGCAGTAGTTCTGAAAGAAAGACCATCTTTCTGCAATTAATAAGCACTTTCTGATGGGACATTTGAGCGAATCTTCTTCTCTGACATAGTAGTTATGGTTTAATGTTGGCCCAGTGTCACATAGTTTGAAGAGCTTTAGGGTTGTTGCTTCCTTTGAAACAGTTTGCAGAAAACATGAATCTATCTCATATTTTTAAAATGCAAGTTCTTATTTATCTTGTGCGTTTAAAACATTTCTTTTGTACATTGTTAATGTGTATTGTTTTTAACAAAAGAAAAAACCTTTTGACTTTCATGGATTGTTTCCATGAACTTTATTTGAGACTAAATTAGCGGCAAATTATGTTCTTTTAATCTAACAATAGCTTCCTTGAAGAACAATATATACATATGTGAAGTCAGGTTAAAATGAGCAGTATTTAACTATAGTAGGTTGATCATTTTTTGCTGCATGATTTAACTAAAACTCTGAGTCAGAAAGAGAATACACACAAATTATAGTGATAGAGATGGTTTATTTAAGGACATTTTCATCTGAGGATACCTAAATGTTTAGTCTTTGAAATCCTACCAGTGAAAGTGAATTTCTAGAGAAGGGAAACATCCGAAACAAGAATGTTGCTGGATTGGGAATCATCTCCAGGCTCTTAATGGCCTAAACAAAGAACTGAGCAGGAACACAGGAGTTGCAGTAATATCAGTGTTTTATTTGATAGAAAAAAGACAAGATACACTCCACAGGATGAGAACAGGCTGATGAGAAGAGCCCACAGTACCAAGGGGTTTGGTGTTGAAGGTTTAAAAATGTATCATTTAGGGTGGGATTGAGGATTTTATCTGAGGTGTAATTTCTGCGAATGAGTGACTCCAACCCCACCCTGCATGGTGAAAGTCTTTACTTTCATGGGCCTTAAAGAACTGTCATGGTGTCAAAGCCCACAGGGGCATCAAGTCTACCTAGTCAATAATATGCTAGTTAGGGTCAAGCAAAGGTTTTGGAAGACCACAGGATATATGCTCAGAGTCTAATTATAAATGAAGCTACGTGGTTACCTTTTCGCATTGTGTTTGATCCTGCACTAATGTTTAACTCAGAAGATGGATCTAGTTCCAGAAGGCAGATTCAAGGAGGTGCTCCTTTTTTCCAGCTGTTTCCTTGGTTACCTTATGTTGCAGATCTAGCCAAGAAAGGCGGCTCTGAGGAAGACCTGCTCTGTCTTCTTTCTCCTGCCTTTTCCTTACTACCTTCTGTCTCAAGAACCTGGGCTATACTAGATTGGAAAATGCATATTACAGGATGTGTTACCAAACATTGGCACCTTGATAGAATGAAACTCACTTGTGCTGTTGAGAAAATAAGGTTGGAAAATAGTCATGGTAGATGGTAAATTTCAAAATATTATGTTCACATCATATGAGAGTGAATTATATTCACTTGTCTTTATAGTGAATTTCATCTTTTGGAAAACTCCTTTAAGGGATGGTTTTCTCTTCAGGAAATTTAGAAAGTGTGTCGGACAGAACAATCATGTTTGCTTCATGTGTTCACTCAGGACAGTTGCCCAGTAGAGTTCATGGTGAAGGTGTGTAGCAAACACTGGGTGCTGGAGTGTGTGGATTAACTAAGCACGTCCTCACCCTCACTTGCCCAGCACATCCTTTAAATAAGTGATCGTTACTGCTGTTCTGCGCTGTCAGCTTGTCAGCAGCTCCTTACCGTCAGCAGGATTCGATTCTGCTCTTCAGACCATAGGCTAGGGAGATTCAGGTTTAGCAAGACCTTTTGAGGCTTTGTAGAGTTATGCCCCTTGATGACATGGGGAGCTCTCAAAATCTCGAGCATGATGTGTTGCTATTTAGAGGACTGCCTGAGTAAGAATCGTAGTAGAAGTGAATATGATTTATCAAGATATTTTCAACGGAGATAACAAAGGGTGGAAATTGTATGATCAAGTGGATTGTGATTATTTTTAATGATTTCCAAATTTTACAGCTAGAGCCGTTTATACTATTAGCAAATCTGATTTGTACTCAATTGTGATATAAATAGGATAATAATACAGATGGAGGAATTCTGGGTCAGAAACAAGAGAATTAGCTTAGTTTGTTAGAAAATGGAAAGAAAATAATTCTACAAAAATTCTGGCTCACTGGATATTAGCACCACAGTTATAAAATACTGTGCACATAGTAGTTTGCTACTTGCAAGGTGAGTAGAAAATGAAACTAGTACAGTGAGTTTGCAAATTGCCATATGAATGCAACATTATGGCATTAGATAATTGGAATATGTAAATTTTTTCAGTAATTTCAGTTTCCCTCCCCAACCAAAAAGTATATTGAGAGCTGCTCATAAATATTATAATTAATTGGCTACATTTTCTTCTCATGTGTTTTTATCTTTTCATTGGTACCAGGTAAAAAGTGTCAAAGGTAAGCCACAATGAGGCTGGTGATCTGGACTTATTTTAAAGCTTAGGGGGAAAAAAATCCATGTTTTGTTTCCATATATAAATATATTCTTTGCTTTTTATTAAGACCACATACAACCCAAGAAGGAAGATGGTTGAGGTAACTATTTTAATTCTTCAGAGAACTTTCATGTGACATACTGGATTTAGCTAAATGTTAAATGTACCAATTACTCATCTCCCAACTGAAAGTTCTATTTTGAAAACCTCTAAAGATCAGAAGTCTTGATAAATCTGCAGAAGCCCCCCGAATTCTGCAGTGGCTGTGCTCAGCAGTGGCTGTTGTGCAGGAATGTCCCAGAAGCCATCACCTCCCTGAGCTATTGTGAAATTGGGTATTCTCAAGACCCTGACACACTATGGCAAGACGTAGTGTGTCTGCAGCCTCAGACAGCTTTCCCCCAAAGGTAGGCGTTCATTAAAACATCAAACACGATTGATGAAAATTTTTAAAATCTTGCCAGGTAGCACTTCTGAAAAATCAAAAGATATTACAGCCAATTATCATTTAATGAAGATAAACTTTTTCCTTGGTGTCAGGAGAATAAAATAGAAGACTTTTGTGTATTGACTGTGATCTGGCTAGCAGGGTGCTGGAAATCAAATTCTCCCAACTATAATTAATTTTAAAATAGAGTATCACTGGCCCTACCTTTCATTTCCTTTACAAGGACTACCCAGCATCTGAGTAGGGTAGAAGCCAAAGTCCAGTCTCATCGCAGAGCAGCTGACTAAGTGATGCACTGTCACTCTCCAATGGGAGAAAAGAAATTTCCCGAACTGCATACCTGAGAATTCAGACACTTCAGCACCTTTCCAATTGCTGAATAGTTTGGCTAGATTTGAAGCTTATGGGAAGCAAAATTAAAGAGGGTATGGATAAAAATAAATTTTTAAATTGCACGAATGTTAGCGTGAAATGCAGTCCTGTAATGGTACCACCTGCTGTTCTGTGTGCGTGCTTAGTAAATGGTGTTATTATGTCTCAACACCTCTCCCTGTTTTTCTGGTTAGGAAGATAAACTGCAGCCCAGGTGGCGTAGGTAACCCTGTCAGGAAGGAGAAGTCTCTGCACTCTCTATCCTCTGCTTGCAGGGAACGGAATGCTTGCTGCCTTCGCAGGGGCTGATTCCCTTTGAAGTTCTAATGTGATGTGGATCCAGCAGATGTTAAGGACATAGGTGGGACTGCCAAAGCATCCCCTATGAATTTTTCATAGCTGGCTCCTGCAGCTCAGGTGCACACAAGAAAAAGAATAGGTTGAACTTGCCTGAGAGTAGACATTTCCATTCTGAGGTCAAACTCAGGCAAGCTTTATAAACCTGTCAACCTGTTTTGGGCTCTCACTTTGAAGATTTTATATTCAGTTAACTTTTCTGGAGCTTCTGAACTGAATTCATACATGAATGGAAGTTTCTTCTTTTTTTTAAAAAAAAAAGCTCCTATCATTAGGAGATGAGAAGAATTCTGTATAGCGATTAATCAATCTTTGCTTAAATGGCATTGTACATACGTTAGACACAGCATCAGTTCTGATCCAATATTCAAAATGTCCGGTGTAATGAGATTCTCTACCAGGGATAAAGCTTAGATTAAAAAAGAAATGATTGCCTCTCTCCTTCTTGCTTTTTTCACCTCTTTCATTTTAATGTCTCCTCTTCAAACAACATTTGCAGATAGGATATCATTTTGGCTGATCCTCCTCAGGCTGACAAACTCTTGCTTTTAATTCTGAAGACCACTTAACATTCTTTTGTCCTCTATAATGCTAATTTAACTGCAGACCTCATATATAGTTAGTAGTTGAAAGTGGATTCCTGAGAATAATGTCTTTGCACAGTCATCTAAGAGGGCTGCCCTGTAAAACATGGCTTTTGTGTGCCTGGGTAAAATTTTATCTTATTTTCCTGTGCCTTTCACATTAAAGAGAAAGAAGAGAGCAGGCATAAGCCTTTTAAATGGACCCTGACATACATGCATTGGATTCCTAATGAAATAAGAACAGTTTGAAATACAGTCATACTCAAAACCAATCTGGGAATAGGACCTACATCCCAGCTGAGTAACTTAGACTCAAGCTGCAACTCTATAGGTTGCATGATACTTGTCTTACTTACTTTTTTCTCATTGCTGGGACAGAATACCTGACACCCCAAATCAAAGAAGGAAAGTTTTATTTAGCTCACAGCTAGTGGAGGTTTCAGTCCATACTCAGCTGGCTCCAAGGCAGAGAAGCACATGGCAGAGGGCAGCCATTTATGGCAGTGGAAAACAACAAAGAGCAAAGGGAGGAGCAGCAGCTGCAGCTGTTAGCAAGCCTCTCTGCCCTCCTTACATTTCTATGCAGATTATCTATCCCTGGGCAGGTGTAGCACCTCACACACATAATCCCGGCACTGGATCAAAAATTAGTCACAGGGGCCAGCAAGATAGCTCAACAGACTAAAGCACCTGCCTAGGAAAACTTAGGCAAGCACAGAGACTGCAGTTCAATCCAGGCACCACATGCCG